TAGTTTGCAAGTGTTTTGGATTTTGCAAGTGTTTTGGAGTTTGTACGTGTTTTGGAGTTTGCATGTGTTTTTTAGTTTGCAAGTGTTTTGGAGTTTGCAAGTGTTTTGGAATTTGCATGTGCTTTGGAGTTTGAAAGTGTTTTGGAGTTTGTATGTGCTTTGTCTCTAGGGGCCACCGTAGCTCCTTGCTATCTAAAATATAACAGGGCGCTGGCATAAACTCTCAACCGTCTCACATTTTGTTTAATTAGTTTTCTGTTTGACGTTTATTCAGCTGTGTGAAAACCCCGGAGGAACCCTCCCGAGTGATTAATAAAATTTAATTTAATTTAATCTAATCTAAAAACTTTAATCTCAGCCAAACCGATTTGCTCACGAACAAAGAAAACACTGAAAAAGCCAAACAATAACATTTTTAAGTTATCAAAGTGACTTATATATCATGTTTAACCCGAGTAGCGAAAGACCGTGGGGGTTTGAAAACGATGTGTCAGTCAGCTCAGATATGTGAAGTTTACACAGCTACATTCTCACCTGAAAATATGTTAAAAGTTTTTTTGCGACCCAGAAAGAGAAATAAGAGTAATATTAAAAATAAGTAGCTGCCGCCATTGTTGGAAACTGGAATTGGCGCTATGAATTCTGCAACATGGTTTTTCAATTTTGTTGTCCAGGTGGAAAATCGTGAGAAATTCGGGAGAATGGTGGCTCTGGGAGATTTTTGGGAGGGGCACTGAAATTCAGGATTCTCGCGGAAAAATCGGGAGGGTTTGCCTGTATGGTTGTGGCAACATCACTAACCTTGTCAAACACCTCAGAGTTAATCATGTCACAGAATATGATGAGCGTATGTTGAGATGAACTGAAGAGGAGGACAGGGATAGGTGCTGCTAGGGCGAGACAGACGTCTCTCACTGAGTCCTTTAGTGCTGCAGGCAGGCAAGGTGTTCAAATAGAGCACAACTTCAGTTTTTTATTTCTATATGATGAACTCTGCATTATTAAGTGATAAGAACAAGTAATCTGATGTCCTGTAATCATTATGATGCTATAATTTGAGATACAATAAATAAAATACGTTTTTGTACAAAGTATCATATCGGATCAGTATCGTCGATACCACCCTGAATATTACTTGGTATCGGATCGGAAAGGAAATCAGTGGTATCACGCATCACTAGTCACCACCCATCTTGGGGAGTTTGCACCCTCACATATACTAATGTGCCACAAACAGGACTTTAATATCACCAACCATTCCCATGTTATTACGGTGTATCCATATAAAAGGTAAGATCTAACGGTAAGATCTAACATTTGTTTATGTTCAGTTTTAGCCCTGAAGCTTTTGAGAAATTTTCAATGATTTGTAGAATTTTGGGGATTTCATTCAAGTTTTTTAAGAAAATGGTTGTGTCATCGGCTAACTGGCTGATAGAGAGCTCTTCACACACACACACACACACACACACACACACACACACACACACATATATAAGTGTGCCCAGTGTTGGGGAGTAACGGAATACATGAGTAACTGTATTCTGTTACAGTTACCGTTTAAAAAGGTGGTATTTAGAATACAGTTACTTTGTTGAAATAAATGGATTACACAGCGGTATTTTCCTGTTTCATATTGTGGCGGGTCAGGACTGTTTGGGTTTTGTTTGACATCTACGTTCTGTTGTTCCAGGCGGCAGCGTTACGGTTGCCATGGTTACAGGGTAATGCTCTCTCCGAGACTGTGTGTTTCCTGGGTGAGAGAGCCCCTTTTTGTTGTTGTTGTCGTGCTAAGCTAATCCGGTCGTTAAGTCTGACGTCACTAGCCGTGTCTGGGCCTAAACTCCGCTGCAGGTCCATATATCAAACGATCACTATGGCATTACTGAGAGTTGAAAAACTGTCTAAAGTCTTTCATCTTTAATAAAATGATCAGCGTTCTGCTCTACCAGGTGTAACAATTGAGTTTAACATCCAGGCATCCATGAAAACGGAATTTATGACATTTAACGGAGTTAGAAGTTAGCAGGAAGTTAACTCGTTAGCTTCTATCTAAATACAATATGGCATGTCCTGACTGCGGGGTTTTGGAAACAAATTAAAACGTACAGCTCTGTTATCACTTCCAACATAAATGAAGACAGAATACTAAACAGCAGTGATGTTTGTAGGGTTACTGAAGTTTGGCTAGCTGGTATATAATGATGTGCTACGTGACCGCTAGCGACACAGCTATGTTAGCATAATATAAACAAGCTAACTTTTTTCCACTCGATAAAAGTTAACGTGAGTGTTCTCGGTGGTCAGGAACAAATGTAATCGCATGGCAGGATGCTGTAAAAGGACCAAACTTCAGCCAGGAGAACAACTGAGATAATCCATCCACAATACGAGGTTAGTCATTCATATACTGCTGCATGGGCTGGGCTGTAGTTACATCCTAAGGTTTTAAAAAACTGAGCTTAAATAAATGATTAGCGGTAATAAAAGCCGAGGGAGGTCAACAATGATCACTGACTGTTTTAGGAGCTTTTTGAGATTAAATAGAAGAAAATACAAAACATTAAACATGTTAACAACACAAAAGCCATATTAAACGCAGACTACTTTAGGCCCGGAAGTAGGATTCATCATGTCATCACTTAACGACCGGATAGGCAGAATGCTAAAGGCAGACCTTCCCAAAGTGTGTGTGTGTGTGTGGGGGGGGTGCGCAGAGCCATTGCATGGGGGCACGGCATGAAAAGGGAAAAAAAAAGCAACAACAATGCTTGGACACTGCTAGCACCCACACAAATGCAAAGCAGGAGATGAAGCATAGCTGAATATGTTTCCAAACCAACTTCATTCTAAGCCAAAGACTAGAAAATATGGTGAAGCATATCTTCCCTTTGGTTTCACCTGCACAAGTGCCAAGGTAGGTCTCCCCTGCATAATTGATTTTCCCTTTGTCAGGAGCATGCGCTGGGCTCTTCAAATCACAGACAAACAGTATCCCACATTCTTGATTTTTAGTTCACAAACACTTGTTGTAATGACTAACTAATCCTGACATTTTGGAAATGTTAGCTCTTTATACAGTAAAGTTACAGCGGGATACAAATAATATCAGGTCGTTCCTTCCACGATTTGTTCCTCCTGTCTAAATCATGGACTAACAGTATCCCACAGTTGTTTATTTTTAAACCCATTTTGCACAGAGAGGCATTTTTTGAAAAATGTATTGATAGCAATGTTGAATATTATTACACAGGAATAAAACAACTACATGTAAAATAATTACACTGTGACGCCTCTGCCTTCCTAAATGAAGGGACAGTAACTGCGTGTGTATATGTAAGCATTTAAAACCTGAAGATAGAGACAAAATACTTTTAATCTGACTATCTGCTATTCTGCAATTCATCTCATGTAAACAATAACGTGGCACACAGCATGACGTGAAAAAAGGAACATACCTTTGACATTGGGTGATGAACTCTGTATTACTTGTCCACACCTAAATGCAAAAAAGGAGTTTTAAAAAATCTCAGTTTTCGGTGATTCCAAACGCTGTTTACGTGTGGACGAAACAGCTGCGTTTTCAAAAATAGCCGTGTAGGTGCGGACGTAGCGTAAAAGAGTTAGTAGTTTATTTTCTTACTACCTGCAGATTACTTGTATTTGCTTAATTGTTTACTAAATGTTTGAGGTGTGAAATAAACCGCAATGGAGCAAAATATGGGTGTGTGTGGTTGGAGGATGTGTGCACGCGGGGGCGCGAACATTTTTCTTGTAAAACAAAGGGGGGCCCAGCAAGAAAAGTTTGGGAACCACTGCACTAAAGAGTCATCACAGACATGAAGACATGAAGGAAAAACATCACAGTGAAAACTGAACCATGTTAATCATGATAATGTCAGACTCACATTCATGTGATCAGTCACAGACCAAATCACAGCAGACAGCTCAGCTGATAAGCACACGACTGTACAAGGGCTGCTGGGTAATGTAGTTCCATAATAAAAGGGCATTCTCTACAGTAACTTGCAAAGACCACCGAGTTGGGTTCAAACATGTGTTTTTACACCAGAGCTCAGTCACAGAGCACGTTAGAGACAGAGGAGAAAATCCTTCATTTCTCTGATTAGTCTGAGATTTCCTGGACAAACATACATGTCTTATGATCTGAGGCTGGTGCAGACTCCCTGTTAGACCTTTAAGCCTCATTATAGAGAAGGTTTCACACACCACAGATGTTCTCCTGGGCCTTCGTCCAAAATCCAAAACCGGAACAGTGAAGAGAGTGACATCATCATTTAGGTGGAGCAGGAGAGGCAGAAAATCAATCAAAGATGAAGACTTCCTCACGAAAAGCTCAGACAGGCTGCAGAGGACAGCCTTCACTGCAGCTCTTTGAATGTTGGAACTTTGTCTTCTTCATGGCTGACCAATCACAGCACAGACAGGAACAACCCACAGACCAGACTGATCACATGATCTGCTCACTGTGGGCACTGTTTTTAAGGTATTGCTAAGTTTAAAAAAATAGCATATCACAAATAATATTTACAAATGTGGCACACAGGCTGGATCTGTTTTATATATTTAACTGATCACACACCAGTGTCCCTCACACATTTAAATGTGTTAATATTCTCTTGCTGTATTTGATTCACAAAAATAAAATCATGAAATATATTGTAAAAATATGAAATGTTCTAATAATAATAATTATTACAACAAACTAAAAGTTCACATTTACAAACCACAAAGTGTGACAGTGCGAACAAGACAACCCTGTGACTGACCAGCATAACCGCTGAGGTACAGCATGTGCAGTACATTAAAAAACTATGTTTATGAAGTCATCGTGCCACCTCATCGTCTCGTAACCATAGATACTTAAAACTCAGGCATTAAGGAAACAAAGGCTCTAAAATGTTTTACATTTTACTGGAAGTGTTGACAGAAAGGAATTTAAATATCAGTTTCAGTCTGAACACGTGAGAGGTTTTCAGGAAAGAGAAACTTTACAGATATAAAACTAATCAGCCAATCATGCAGCAGTAACTCAGTTTGTTCATGCATGTAGACAGAACAAACAGCACTGAGAATCAAACCGAGCATAAGAATGGGGAAGATATTGTCATGTGAACACCAATAGAACTCTGAGGAGCATTTCCTTCTTGAATCTAAAAAGAATTTTTTTTAAAGGGTCCAGCCCGGTACTATTATACTATTAGGTACATTAGGTGTACTTAATGAAATGGCCAGTGAGTGTAGTAGTGATGGCTTGTTTGTAAAAGCCAAACCGAAAACAGAAAACTTCAGCATTTTCCGAATAGCTTTGGGTCTGCTGATGATAAAGATGATGATGATTATCTAAGACTGTTTAGTTCATGGTCATGCGGGTGGATCTAACACCAGCTGTCAAAGGACAAAATAACTCACCTTGATTTTAACTCTAAAGGAAGAAAAGTGAATTACAGAGTGCTGAAAGCCTTAATCTGTGGTTGTAGTCTGTACACGTGGACGTTGCTGGAGAAGCAGAAAGCTTTGCAGCACTGTTCTATGAGTTTATTCAGATGAAGTGACTTCATAACACATGCCAGGAAGTACAGGCTACTGTAAGACAGGTATTAAATTCAGTTCTTTGCATTCTTTTGCGGCAAAGAAAGACTGGGCTCAGGGTGGTCAAAGCTCAAAAAATTATCTTTATTTTACATTCCCGGGAACGGAGAGCTCTTAGGCGCTATCATGCACCCAGCTCTGAAAACATCACAAGGTGAATGTGTATATGTCTAGTTCGGCTACGTCACACCCTAAGTTTCGATCAAAAGAACTCCTAATATGGTACCAGTTCCTCTTTCTTTGTGTCTCACTTCCTTTGCAGCTCTGCACTAAACTTCCCCTTTCTAAAGTCTGTTGCCAGGGCGACCTGTCACCCTCTGATGTAGTTTACACTCAAAGTTGGCCCTCTCTTATTAAAATACATAAAACAATATATTCAGCAAATAAGCGTTAAGAATATATATTTAAATCCCAACAGACCCCCTTTTTAACTAATTCTATTAGTTAACCTAATTAACTGACTCCCTCAATAACTACTGTGAACTAAAAACAGATATAATTAGCTTTTTCTTGTAAAAGGTCCTACATTACTTTTGTCACTCTTTGGAAACAGACTCTATAGAGTTAACCCGTTTCCTCTTTAAAAAATTTACTCTTGGTTTCTTCACCCCCTTTAACGGGTAGCTCATATCCGGCCTTAACACTTTGTTTGGGCAATTTACATAACATAAAAATCCTACCAACTATTACTTAAGTCCCTCTTCTTACTCTTCATTAATTTATGGTCACATTTAACCTCTGTCTAACAAGCTTTTAATCTCCTAAACAACAAAAGAAATACTGGATGTTTTTCATGAAATCAGTACTTAAAAGGACTTACAGTATAATCATTTCATTTTTTCCTGTACAAACCTGAATTGTTACTTCCTTATTCTAGTACAAGTACCCTTAAGTATTTGTAGTGAAGCACAGTTATACTGTACTTTCAGATATAAAGGTTGAAATTACACATAATTACAGAGTACTTGCACCTTAGTCACGGCTCGTATTATAAAGTGTTACCGATCATATGAACTATATCTGAAAAATATTTATATTAAAGTGCAAAGAGTAGAATCAAACTCAAAGCAGTGGTGGAGCGGGGGGGGTGGCTTACTGGGCTTAAGCCGTACCTCGTACCTAGTGTTTCTTTTTATGTTTGCTATTTTTCAAATTCTATATTTATTAAGTTATGCAGGCTTGTTTGCACAACAAGGCTAAATAATTATATAATTATATAAACTTTTCTGAATCTAAATAGTGTACTTTGGTAGAATTAAAAAATAAGTGTAGTGCAGGTCTATGGTGATTTTGAGTGTTTTGATCCTGGTCCTGTCTTGGTTAAGTCCTAAAGTAGTCCTGTTTTAATTCCCGATCAGTTCTGGGTCTGGTTGAATTGGGGTTTAGTCCCTGTGTCTTGATACAACCCTGATTTTGTTCTGCTGCTAAACTAAAAAAAGAGTTTAAGATGTAGTGCATATGTGATATATATTTTTTCCTATATGAAGCTATTCTTTTTTTGAAAAAACTGAAAGCACAGCCTAATAAATCTCTCATTCACCCCCTCCCCCCAATCCCACATGCATACTACCCTTTAGGGCTAAGCCCCGGGTGTATCAAATGTCTGGCTCCGCCTCTGGATTCTAGGATGAAACTTTTGCAGATGTAGTCATCCCTTTTCACATTTGCACACTTTAGTTCAGGTGTGTGCACATAACAGTGTTACCTTCAGTTTAACAGTAAACAGGTGAGAAAGCTGCTTTCATATTACAGTCTCAGAATTCATATAAACCCTTCGAATTCAACCCTTCCCACCCGTGTGTCATCATCTAGCTCTTCTGCCTCTGCCAAAACACAGTTTTACTGCAATACTTTTAGCTGATTTATTTTGTTTTGCACTTCGCACATTTTATTTGTTCTTAGGTCATTTATTGTGGAAATTCTCATGTAGGAACTATTGTACTGCATGTTGGTTCCACTGGTGCACCTGTGTAAGTACCACGGAACAGAGGCAGCAATATAACATAGCTAACATTAACAGTGCAGTGTACAATGTACATAACTAATGTCACGTAATTTTGCCTACATGTGGCCAACAGTAATGTTTTAAAGTTATGTGACATTAGTGATGTTTGTACTTTCAGCGTTAACTTGGTTTTAAAGCCTTTATTTTAAAATATACGCTGTTCAATAGTCGACCTTAATCTTACAGAGAATGTGATGATTTTATGGATAATTAAAGTCAGTCATATATCCACAAACACAACAGGCTGAAAGTCAGTGATGCTGCTCGGTTTGCAGTCCTGAATATCACGGCACAAGCAGGATTCACTGCACTGTTAATGTTAGCTATGTTATATTGCTGCCTCTGTTCGGTGGTGTCGAGCCAAACGGACTTTAACGTGTGTTTGAACGAGCTGACGGTTCACTCGTTAAGCTGAAAGAAAGATGCTTTAATCACAGGAGTCACACATGTGTCCACTGTACCATCTGGGAACTCTCTGTTTAGCACTCGTAATAACACAAACACTAAATCCTCCTTCTCTGGTGCTGTTTTGTAGCAGTGTATACACCTGAGACTGTCACCTGTCTGTCTGTCCTGCACACTCTCTTTTTCTTTCTCTCTATGATTGCTAGGCAACCTGAACAGCGCGACGAAGGCTAGACCATCCCATTTCACAAGCCTCTCACTTCCGCACTTCTCGTACTCATAGTACGCACCGTACGTAGTACGCGTACTGCGCGTACTTCAAGCTTAAGTCAGATGGAGTTCCAGTGTTCCAAAAAGTATCTGTAAAGTGCTCATTTCTGCCTCTAAGCATGGGCCAGGTATGTTTTTAATGTTGTATAGATTTTTTGATGGTGGCATAGTTGGTGATGAAGGTGATGTTGTAACAATATCAACCCCAAGATTTTACAACTCATGTTAAAGCCAGTTTCATGCCATTAATTAAAAGAACTCTTTGACTTTAAGAAGACGTGGAAGTGAAAGAGAGGGCAGAGCCTCACTGTTAAACTGTCTCTGATAATTTGGTGGGTTTCTGGGAGAAAGCTCTGTGAAAGTGGATCTGTTGTTGGACAGTGTGTTAGGGTCAGGGGGTTCGGACCAGTACCTGCACTATCTGAAGAGCTTTGCCTCTAAATCTTGTTGTACTGTTTGCTGCAGCTGTGATCAGCAGGGTTACATGATGCAGGACAGTGTGTAGCAGGACAGGAGACACCAATGGAGGTTCAAGAGTCTTTCAGAGGTGATGAACAAAAAAAAAAGAAAAAAAAAGAGGTGATGAACATGATTTGGATCATAAAGAGTGAAGCGGGTCACTCAGGTGAAGGTGGTTTCTCTTTCAGCTCTCTTTATAGGTTACAGCAGCACCACACACCCACACAGCTACATCACCTTGACACTACTGTAAATCTCCCAGAGTACAGATTACAGTTACATTCAATGAAAGCTGAGCATTGGCTTTAACAACAGTATTGTACAGGGTGGAAGAGTGCTGAGCTTCAGCTCTACAATAACCTGCAGTGTCCTACCAAGAAGTCTTTAACCCTTTCACGCAGAGTGGTCACTACAGTGGACAGCTATTCAAAGGCTGTTTTCTTGTATTTGTGTCAGTGTTGATGGTATACTTGCACATAAACCACTACACTGGACACTGATGTGTCACTCCATACCCTGCCACCCACTGGTCAGTATGTTTCCACCTAAGTGGACATGTAAAAACCTCTTTGAAAAGTACATGTTTAAAAATGAAGTTCAAAAATCTTTTTTTTATGCCTAAAGAAGAATAAAGATACTTAAGAAAAAATCCTGATTGAGGTTGTCATAATTCATGCATGAAAGGGTTAATTTTGAAAATATTTCACAAACAACCAGTGGGAATATCTGGGACTTTCCAGGCTGATAAATACTTTCAGTTTCACTCTGACTTTTTTCTCACGTAAGCTTTTGTTTAAAGTGCTTGTCATTATTGACAGCCAGAACTACTTACAGCTTCTTCTGCAACACGTTTGCAAATTTCTGACGCCACAAACAGCCTTGACACCTGTACAACAGCATTTTACGGCAGAAGCTGGGGCACATTTGCAAATGCGTGACAACTGCAACTTGTGCAGAACTTGAGATATACTAACATAGGGCTGAAGGAATGTTTGTCAGATCATGTGTAGACTGTGGTTGGAAGAACCATCTACAAGATAAGAACTCTAAATGTGCCTTTAACTTTAATCTCATTATTGATAAAACACTAAATGTTCCAAACCACTGGTTTCAATAAGAAAGTCGTCTCTGAGGGCAGAACTCTGCTGCTCAGCAAGTCTTACCTCTCTGACCTGTGTGATCAGTCTTTGTGTGGAAAACAAAACTTATTAGATCCACTAATCTCTACTTCTCAACTATTCTAATATTGATTACTTTTGATTGTGGTTTTCTTGATAAAACTTACAAGATCACTGTTTTTTTAGTATTGTAGGGTCTACCTTAAAATATGAGGTGACTGCTGTTGTGATTTGGCGCAAATAAAATTGTATTAAACTAAATCAAAAAACACTCAAAAGTTTTACCTTTGTGAGGAATTTTATCTCACATCACACATTTAGATGTCCTGAAGTTTATCTTCTCTGTAGGTGCAGAATTTAAATTTTCCAGCTTCCATCAGCGAGCTAATGAACAAAACAAAAAACATTATTACCTTAATGACATTGTCATAACAAGTTGCATATTAATGATAATAAATTGACTTCACAGCCCATTTCTCATCAGTGGGCTGGTTTCAGTCATTGTGCAAATGTACTGTTTATAAGGTTAGGGAAACCTGCAGTCAGCTGAGACTGAAGACGTCACTTAGATGAGTGACGAAACGTTTCTCCCAATGAAACTGTCCAGATGAACAGAATCAACCTTTTGAGGAATGCTATCTTAATTTATAACATCAGTTTGTATTTTTTGGAAAAAGGACTCATCTTATGCTATTTAGATTTTACTCTTTGGTAAACTCCCCATCCAGAAATGTTTTTAAATAAATCACACTTCCTTATTTAAATGAAGGAAGTAGAAGAAAAAGTTTACTCTTTCTGTAACAAGAACCTTTAAAACCATTACTTTAAACCATCAGTATTTATCGATTGGAGGGATTAAAAATATTTAAAGCTTCTTCTTCTCTGAGGTTGTCATGTTACATTAATCTGGTTTTCCAGTCTGTATTCAGTGTTATGGAAGAACTCCATGCTCAACAGAAATCCTGCACTTTTACAAATATCAACAGTAAGTGTGTCCCCCTGCTGAGTCCTCACACATCATCACTGAAGCTCTCCATCCCCACACTTCCCATGCCCACTCATCTCTCAGTCCTTCTGACTCCTGACTTGCTGACTCCTTTGCCACATGGTGCGAGCAGAATCATCTGCAGCTCAACATAACAAAGACCAAGGAATTGATTGTGGACTTTAGGTAGACCAGGAAAACTTTGACCCCTGGGCCCTATTTCAGGAAGCCGGTTTAGTGCAAACTCTGAGTAAGTATACCCTGAGTTAACGGAAACTCTGGGTTTTCGGTTTCACAAAGCGAGTTTAGATTAATTCTGAGTGAGTTACTATGACGACACACTCCGTGAAGCTAACCTGCCCCCTAGCAGGTTTACTTCAACTAACCGCCTTTCTCCGCCTCTTTGTCGGAAACCTGACTGTAGGAAGTGTCAGACATGGCGTGCCCCTTCCTTGAAGAGCCAGTAGATGTTGAAGCCCAAATTCTCCGCAGAGCTCTCCGCCGGGAGAGAGTGATTAGAGCGCGTTCGGACATTTTATCATTTCCTGATGATTTTCTGTGTGAACGTTACCGTTTTTCAGCACAATCTATAATTTATTTGAATAACATCCTCAGGCCATATATTACGCATGTGACACATCGCGGACATCCTCTCAGTTCTGTACATATTATTTGTATCGCACTTCGGTTTTTTGTAAATGGGAGCTTTCTGTATAATATTGGTGACGCTGAGCACGTTTCCAAGGCTACCGTCTGTCGGGCAGTCAGGAATGTTACAGTTGCACTGAAACGTCTCCTGTACTCGTTTGTGGTGTTCCCCGGTCACAGACCCACAAGATTTATCAAAGAGGGATGCCACAAAACTGCAGGTATCAGGATGACCAAAACTTAATTCATGATGTGGTGATACTTGAACTACTACTTAAATTTTACATTTATTTTCAGGGTTCCCAGGCGTGATTGGCTGTATAGATGGCACTCACATTCCAATCATTGCTCCTTCAGTAAATGAAGGAGACTATGTGAACAGGAAGTCTTTCCACAGCATTAATGTGCAGGTACATAGTTCCCTGTAGCATTTCAAACTAACAAATTATTTCATTATAGTAATGGATGCTAATTTGTGTTCTCTGCACTGTGAAGATCATATGTGATGCTGCCAACATTATCACAAATGTGGAAGCCAAGTGGCCAGCCTCTGTGAGTGGTGGTGGTGGAGGACCCCCACCTGTTTTTCGGGCCTCCGCTTTTTTTTCTGTTGGCTATAACGGGTCACATTTGAGCATACAGAGTAAGCAAATATGTACTTGTAATGTGCTCAGATAATTTCAATAAGTGCTTACAGAGGGGAAATTAATGTAGCCTCTAACTGCAATTGATTTACATCGGACAAACAGACCAAGCACTATGGCTCATAATACAATTACACCTTACCTGTTTGGACTATATTTTTAAATTTCATTTTTACTTGCTGCCAGGAACGTTTGGGGCCTGTTGGGTTGCACCTGCCCTCAAATCACATCACAAAATCAAATGTATAAAATACAAAATAAAATAAAATATAATAAAATAACGTGTTAAATGGGTGGAAATCCATTTAACATTGTGGAGGACTATAAATACCTTGGAGTACACATCGCTAATGAACTGGATTGGGTTAAAAAAACAACAACTGCACTTTACAGGGCCAGAGTCATCTCTGAGGTCTTTTAACATCTTTCAGACAATGCTCAGGTTTTTTATAAGTCTGTTGTGGCCAGTGCTGTCCTCTGTGCTGTTGCATGCTGGGACAGCAGGTTGAGGGTCACAGATGCCAACAGACTCAATAAATTGATCACAAGACCAGTAATGTTGTGGGGGGTGAGCTGGACACCCTTAGGGTGGTGGTGGAGAGGCGGAGAGTGCCTGTGGTTATGTCTTTACAGCTCCTCCATCTAATGCACAGTACCCACTGCAACAGTTACACCCTTTTGCACATGCTCTACAGATCAGAGGGATACCACAGTGTTAACCAGATATATTTGTGTAATATAGTGGGATATTTATAATTAGATCTATTTAGATCTATTTTGTACCTTTGTAATTAATTGTATTATTTAATTCAGTTAAATAAAGTATTCTGATTTTGATTCTGAATCAAGAACAAGACTAAATACACTGATTCAGTAAGCAAACCTGGACCTCGGGATATTTAAATAAGCATCACCGGGATTCAGCACTCCTACAAATTCAATTAGTCATAGATTTTAGTCATTTAAAAAGTGGGATAACTATTTAATAAAATAAATGTGTGTATTTACTGTACTGCCAGGCCGGAACTCATTACAGGTTCCCCCCCTTGGCCCATGTACCTGCGATCTATTCGTTTCCTGCTGCTCATTAACTTGATTTTAAGTGTGCCTTATAGTGTGGAAAATACGGTACACAGAAATATAAAAGAAACAAACTAGAAACTTAAAAAAAGAAAATGAAAGCACAGATAAGCATCTGCTTTTAAAAGTGACTGAATGATATCGAGTCATTTTGTCATGTTAACAACATCACAAGGTAAAAGCCTCAATCAATTTCTTGCAGGTTGTCTTATATCTGTCTTTTATTTACACATGAAACATTTATCTTTTAAAGAAATTTGGCCAATAGGACAGCTGAAATTGCAACACCCATCTATTCTCTTCTGCTTATCACTATCAGGATTGTGGGGGGCTAACCACCACGCCACCCTGAGATATTTCAACATATTCAAGATAATACTTCTGTGAAGACAATTCATGTGGCAAACAAGGACTGGATTGATTATAATGTCGATTCAATAATGCAGAGTCATACAGATATTTGCAGTCAGGTCATTTCTTTCTTTTACATATAACCCTGTCTTTTTCCCTTCAGGCTTAGAGGGAACATTCTCTGCCCGGTGATGTATGGTCCTGATTACTCCAGGTTTGTGTTCTAGACGTTGGAAGGAGTTGGTCACTCTTTCGAGTATGCCAATGTTCACATTTTGGACAGAGAGGACAGATGGTTTGAAAGAGGACTAAAAGAAGGCATCTATGTCCACTGTGAACGACCATCTTTGAACAGAGGCGGTGGTTTACAACACCAACTGTCTGCCATCTATAATCCAGTTTTGAGATCCCTTCCCAGGCGCCTTTAGGCCCACTCACATCCAGGGCCATCTGACTGCAGGAAATTAAATAATAGGGTGGGGCTAGGTTTCACAATGAGCTCACACAAAACCTTCCAGACACTTTTCTTTCCAAGCTCCTTAGACCCTGTCATAAATTCTGTTGACCCCTGCCTATTTCATCCTCTGAAGCATAACCTGTCACTGGCATTGCACAGGTGTTTTTTCTTTAACATTTGTAACTCTCCTACCTCCTGAACTATTTGCTCAGTTGGAAGAATTCCAATTTCTGAGAGCAACAATCCCAGGCATGATGTGACAACACCCCCGCAAAGATGAGGGTTGGTTCAGAGGAGAGAGTAAGTGTGATGGAGCTCCACAGAAATGTTACACATAGAAAACTACATGCAATTACCTTTTAGCAAAGAACTGTGTGCACATGCACTTACAGATACTCGGGTGTAACAGTCAGATCTGAGCTGGGAGGAAACAGTTGAACTGTGTCAGCAGCTTCGGTCTAACTTTGGAATCACACAATATAAAACCAGCTCTCTGATCATACTTCTCTTTATTTTAACCTCTTCAAGTCTAAACAGATTTACTAGCACTGACACAAACAGACAGGTCTGACCCGTTTCAGTGTTTGGATATCACTCTAACCCTCCACAGTCCACTGGTTTATACAGGCTCTGGTATCACATGATCAGAGCAGCAGTTCAAACAGCACAGTAGTATACAGCACAGTAGTATACAACACTACTGTGTCCACATTAGTACTCACCGAGTAGGTTAGAAGCTGTATTTGGGAAGCTGTAAATCAGCGGTATCCAGGAAGAGAAGATCTGGGAGAATCCAAGCCTGTTTTTCCACTGTTACTGTACTGACACTGCTTTGTATCCAGATCTTTTTCTATTCTACAGACTACAGCAGCACAACCCACATAGCTACACTCTACTTTTAATGCAGGAATCCCAACTATATCACAAGTAAATTAGGACTAACAGTGTGAAATCTTCACACTGTCAGCTACACAGAGTTTCTAAAGGCCGATAAAGGAGGAGGAGGGAGGAGCTAAAGAGCTCTGTCTGTGGTAAACAGTCTGCTGATCTCTGCCTTAGATTGAATTATTTCTCATGTTTTTGCAATGAATTCTCTTTTAAATTTGACAAACAGAGGGCATAGTAGTGTAACTTATCTTATATTTATGTCCTTCGAGTTACCAATGAAGATGTTAAATACTGTGTAAAGTGATGAGTGGCAGACTATATCATAACACTTACTATAAAACTATATTTTGTTTATATTCCTGTATAACTTCTATCATGCATGTGAACAGGCCTGCCATAAAGTCTTTTATTTTGAAATTATTTCAGAGAATAACTAATAACCAGGGGATTTCAGATGATTTGTTAACTTAAGAGTCAAACAGACACATTTTTACTTTCTGTTTCTATTTGACTGTTAAAGGTCAGATTCTGGTCATAAAAACACTGAATGATCTACAAAAATTTACATCCAAAGTCCAAAAGTCCAAATTACTCCTTCCTCAATATTTGATCGTCAGACTGAAAAGGAGATTTGAAAGATAATTAAACTGAGTAAAAGATCCTAAAGGCTGCCACAGCTCCAACCCATTTGATTCTATGACACCTCTTTGAAGACTTCCTTCTGGTCTTTATTTCATGTCTTCATCCTCTGTTTGTTCACTTTTTATGTTTCCTTTATGTGTGTTTATCCACTTATCTTTATACTTATACATCACGGGTGTCTTGCTTTCACTTTTGCTTCCTCTTATCTTGTCACATGAGTCAGGTCAGCTGTGTCTTGTTTTCCTCTGATTACCCTCCTCTTATCACGTATAGATCTTCATCCTCATGCTCTGGTCTCCATGATGTAAAAATTATCACTGACAGAGTACAGAGTGCTGTATGAATGCTCCACCTTCACAATAATAATAATAGTAATAACAAACTTTATTATTGAGCCTTGTTGTCTCGTGTGAAAGAATCAGAAACAACGTCAGGAATAAAAACACAGGAACACGCGAGGAGAGTTATGTTCAGACTCAAAACTGACTGTTTCTAAAATCTCTTTGAGCTCTATGTCGGAATAAATGGTAAATGGCCTGTATTTGTATAGCGCTTTACTAGTCCCTAAGGACCCCAAAGCGCTTTACACAACCAGTCATCCACCCATTCACACACACATTCACACACTATAAACATAAATATTTATAATAATAATAATAACAATAATGATGATGATGATGTAGTGATGATGAGCTCTGAGACTTTGATCCTCCTAACACAAAGCTGTACTTTAAATTAAGTCATGCAGGGATGAGTCCAGCGCTTCTGTGGAAACCAGATCGCTTTATCTTGGGCCAGGTTGCAGGGGCAGCAGCCTAAGCAGAGAAACCCAGACCTCCCTCTCCCCAGCCACCTCCTCCAGCTTATCCGGGGGAACACCAAGGAGTTCCCAGGCCAGCCGAGAGATATAATCTCTCCAGCGTGTCCTGGGTCTGCCCCGGGGCCTCCTCCCAGTGGGACA